GCGGAGTTCGCAAACCGAGGTAATTTTTTGCGGCCGGAGCTGGTCGTAACCCGAAAAGTTCATTCACAGAGGCGTTCGTAACCCGAGGTACCACTGTATAAACAAAGTGTACTGTTCGATCTGCACTATCCGATTTATATCGACAGACATGGGAGCAAATCTAGCTGTACTCCAAAAAAAGAAAAGAGAACCTTCTCCATGGCTCTGGATTGTAGAGAAGAATGCAGTCACTCACCTTTCCAAGAGGTTCTTGTGGCTTCCTTCTTCCCAACTGAGCTGCTGTTTAAGAGCAAAAGCAATTCAAAGTTACAAGCCTGGATTTATGTGGCAATTCATAATGGGAGGAAGGAGGAGACAGAGGTGGGAGTTCAAAAACAGTAAGGAATGAACACTTTTTCCTTTTCTACTGAAAAGATGAGAATACCCTCCTTCTCCCTGAGAAGCAAAAAACACTAATTTAAAAACCTGCAATGAAAAACTGTATAATTCAGAATACATTGCTCAACCATTCATAGCTGAATTAAGCCGTGCTGAGCCCAGTGTGGTAACTCAGCCACCAAGACTTTATTTACTACAAATCGCGATCCACCCACCCGAACCCCAATGGATCACAAAGGGAACAGCCTCCAGTCCAGCTGGGAGCATTTGGCTCTTTTCTCACCTTTGCGTTGCCTGGCTGCCCCCAGCTACATTGCTCAGACTTTCTGCCTCCAGACTGGACGCCAAACTGTTATGCTGGTCACCATCCACGGTCTCTGTGGGCTGGCCGGCCTTTGCCATCTCCGCCTGACACAAATGACAAACGCTAGAGACACGTGGCAGGCAATTCCTCGGCACTACTCCATTAGTAAGAAGCCCAAGACAGACAAGAAAATGAGCAAGTGGATCAAGACCACACACTGCAAATGGACAGGGTTAGGAAAAAGAGACCTACGTACAAACATAGCAGTTCCCATAATGATGCCCATGACAAGCAAGGATAGTCAACCTTTCAACAATGGTATATTTGTGTGTGCCCACACAGGGTTGGTTTGTGTGTGTGTGTACATATGTATGTGTGTATATATAGGAGTGTGTGTGTGTACACATATACATTGTGTGTGTGTATGTCTGTGCGTGTGTGCATATACATATATATACATGAGGGTGGGTATATATGGTATGTGTGTGTGTTACAGTGCATGTGGATAGACAGACAAGATAGATGCACACACACACATCATACATATACATATACATATACATATAGTGCTCAAGGGCCCCCTGTTGAGGGACACAGTGGCATTGTTGAACTGTAAAGAGCTGAGAGGAGGTTGTACAGGGAGGATGGCTTTAAACTCAAATGAAGGCTTATATACCATTTTTCATTCTTCTGGGGCCAAAAAACAATGAGAAGCCTGTTTGCCATTCTGTTTCTCCAGTTTGCAACTAAAATGGAGCAATATTGTTTTTGGAGACTGCCTGAAGTGGCCCATCCCTGATATACTGAGCCACAGATTTACAGATACAACAAAAATGAAGAATTTTATGATATCCAACACTGACAAGAAAATTGCTGGGCTAGAATCTTTCCAAATGAAAGACCTCTCGTTTGTACTGCAGAGACTGACGCTGACCATCCAACTCAATCCCTTCCCTTCCCAAAAAAGGAGGGTTTTTTGCTGGTGTTTCCACCTGCAAAAGACAATCAACTACTCACCCCCGGCTTCCGATTCTTGAGTGTAGCTGACAGTGTTTTAAGTTGTTGCGTATTCAAGGCAAGGCTCCAGGACCGTGGATGATCTGTATCTGTGGCGGGACAAGAAAGAATCAAACGAATGATAAACCATCAGTGGTTTCAGAACAATTTTCTAATCCCGGTAAGAATTGCCTTCAAATATTTCAAAGTCCCAGTGAATTGCACCATGGGAACTGTATGAATAAACCTCAGACACTATTTGACCTAAGTCTGTCTTCCCCAAGAAGGAAATCCAGGTTAAGTTGTACCTTTCGAAGCTGACATCGAGATGTGGGACATGCGAAAAGGGTTCATCGTAGGAGCCTTTGTACACAGGGAGCTCTGGGTACTCTACAGAGAGAGAACACATGCCCAAATCCAATTTTTAAAAAGAAAGTAACTGGATTCAGGGTATCCCTAATATATATGTAGTTAAATCTACATTTTCTCTGTTTTAGCCACTAGGGTTTTTTCTAGGTTTAGGAAAAAGGCAAGCAGAGTCCACATAGAAAACAGAACTTGCATGCAGTCTGGATGGACAAAGTTTCAAAATGCTGAATCCTCTCCCAGTAAACAGAATGGTGTTTATTTATGTATTTCATCTGTTATGCCCACCCACTCCAGTAGATTCTGGGTGGCTTACAAAATCCAAGTACCCAGCTGAAACATTTAAAAGCAGAAAACAGAAAATGACAGCCCAGACTAAAAACAACACAACCATAAAAACCTGACAGGGCCCCCACAAACACAATAACCCCAGGCCTGGGAACAGATCCAGGTTTTAAGGGCCTTCCGGAACCTTAGGAGAGTGGGCACCATTCATATCTTTGGGGATGCTGTTCCAGAGGGCAGGGGCTGTGGCAGAGGAGACACACTTCCCCAGTCCCATAAGGTGACAACGCTTAATAGAGGGGACCTGGAGCGTACCCACTCTGTGTGAATGTACCAGGCAGGCAGAGACAATTGGAGATAGGGAGTCCCTCAGATAACCAGGCCCAGTGCCATGAAGGGCTTTATAGGTAACAACCAGCACCTTGAATTGCACCTAAAAGCCAACTGGCAACCAATGCAGCTCACAAAGCAGTGATGACACGTGGGCATAGTCCAAAGTGCCTGTTACTGCTCATACCCCTGCATTTTGAACCAGATATAGCTTGGTGTTCAAGGGAGCCCCACGCAGAATGCATTACAATAGTCCAATTAGAAGGTGACCAAGGCATGAGTGACTATCTGAGGGGCCTCCCAGTCAAGGAAAGGACATAACTGGTACACAAGATGAACCTGTGCAAAGGTCCTCCAGGCTACAGCTACCACTTGCTCTTGAAGCGGTAGCTATGAGTCCGGGAAGACTCCCAAATTGCACACCAGTCTCAAATGAGGAAGTGGAATCGAAGATCATTGATGAAAACATCCCCAACCCAGAGGGGCCAAACAGCCACAGCCACTCAGTCTTGCCAGGATCGAGCCAAAGTCAATTCTTCCCCATCCAGACCCAAACAGCCTCCAGACAGAACATCAACAGCTTCACCTGCGCAGACTGAGGTTGAAATATAAAGCTAGGTATCATCAACATACTGATTTTGTTCACATGGTTGGATTTTTTGATGCCAGAGGTCTATACATGCATACTTAAGCTGGTTCACACATCATGCTGCGTCAAAATATAATTTGTTTGGTTTTAGTGTTATATGTTGTGCAAACCCAGTTGGTGGTTTATTAATAATCATGACTTAATGTATGAATCTAGTTAGGAATTCTTGGAAATGCACACCATCCCAAAACTGACATTGTGCTGGAACTGGAACTTTAAAAAAAATCCAAGATAAACCCAAAGGGAAAAAAGCATAGCTAAGGTAACATATCTGCAGATGATGATTGTAATATTTTCTGTTGAACTACAACAGCAGTTAAGGGTCACCTTTAATTTTGAACTACTGCATAAAGAAATAATAGGTACATGGTTGGATATCTGCACTGCTCCATTTTAACTCAGTAGACCAGAACACACAACATAAGTGAACCCAGCAGAATTCTTGCACATGATGGAGACTTACCCCAATGCTGGTTAAGCACGCTCTCTTCCCTTTCAGAGGAACTCGCTGGGCCAGGCTGGGTTTGTTAGCTGCACTCACCATCTGGTTAGTCAGCCCTGTGTTGGACAGTATGCTGGCAAGAGCTTCTGGGTCAGGCACAAACTCGGCTGCATTCGCTTCTGCAAGGAAAACTGAAGTTTGCATTAGCAACACAGACAAGTTAAGGAATCGTGTTTGGGAAAAAGGCCTCAACCAGCTAATTATACAAGATACCAAGAAAGAAGTCCCTAGAAGTCTGCACCATTCTTCCCAAGCCTGACTCACACAGAGAATTAGATTTTTTTTCTCTTTCATCTCCAATTGAAAATAGGCTCCACATGAACCTCATGCCCTACCATAAGAGCCGCATCATCCAAAAGCGTGCTCTCTCACAAGCAGAGGGAGAAATAGTTTATCTATGTGAAAAATCTAATTTTAAGACTGATTTGGATAATTTAAAGCAGTTGAGACGTAACAGTGGTGGATTCACCCAGAACACCAAGCCATTAATATGATTTGCTTGGGCTTAACATGTGTGAGCTTACCATTATCATTTAGTGTTAGGCACAAACCAGTCCTCATTCAAGCACTGCATTATGTGCTGTTGATTCAAACTCTATCACCACTAGACACTGTTATGATTAAACACAATTCCAGACAAGCCAACAAGCCATGGATTACCAAGCAAAGGAACAAAAGCTTCTGAACCTGTCCATGTTAGAAGAGGCCAGGCTCTTCTTGAAATATTCAGCTATGGCTTGGCACTGCAGCAGGACATCTGTGGCCCATAAAACTTTGCTGAGGATATAACTCCCATAATTCCTGGCCATTAGCAACGCTGGCTATGTCAATGGGAGTTGAAATTCAACAATACTGGTCCTAGCTTAATGCTACTAGCCCACCTTCTCCAATGTTGATTACTTAGCCACCTACATTGCCCAAACAGAGAGCCAGAATTCTATCACGTATTGATGGCTCATACAGTCAAGTTAAAGCTCTTCATAAAAATGGCCTGCAAAACCTGATCCATTGCAATAAGCAATAATCTTTACATCTTTGCCATGAGACATATCACCTTCATTCCTACAACCAGAGGTGGTTAACTGCGTCTCTGTCAAGGGTTCTCTGGTAAGACTCTTGGGTGATAACCCAGCTGCCAATTCCACAACTGGATTGGAATGAGATATCTTGCAAGTTCTGATTGTTTTGCTCCTTGCTTTGGAAGAACATGCCTACAGAGAAAACAAGAAGATTGAACTCAGACTACTACTGTCTTCCTATAAAAACTTGTCCTAGTGGTAATCTAGTTAGAGAAGAGGCAGTTAGTCTAAATCTGGCAAAAATCCAGGCTCCCCACTCCCATATTGTTGGCTCTTCTATTCTGAGCACAATATCTTTCAGTGAACAACCAGGACCTGGAACAGAACCCCAAATGACAGTGTCCCAATAACCATTTATTTATTTCACTACATTTATAGCCCACCCCATACCCAGCAGTCTCTCATTCATCTATAACTATGGGGTAAGTGTGTGTGTGTGTGTGTGTATATACATACATGCATGTGCAAAGTAAGTAATTATCTTGAATAACTACTTAGCTGGAAAAAAATCATATCTCCAACACTATTAGCAATGTAACAATGATTCCAAGAACTTTTATTAATAATGACTAAAGATGTACAACGCACCATTACTTTGCTTAACACAGCTGCCTCACTCCAAATGCTGGACCGAAGCAGCACCATGGCATTGAAAGCAAGGCACCCTGCACTGATGCCTCTGAGCAAAGCATCAAGGCCGGCCATCTGCTTCATAAAAATATCACTAGGACATGCTTCCCTTTGTGGAGCTACACTGAAGGCTCAGTTGAAGCAAAGCACCCCTTCAAAGCTTCACATCCCAGTTCTGACAGACAGGGAGAAATATGGTAGGAATCTGGGGGCAGGCCATTCACAGGGAAGGCAGAGCTGTTGTTTGAGATTCTGCCTTCCAGCCCCAGCATTCAGTTTGGTGGATAATGAAAGTCATGGACTGGATTGCTTCTATGCGACCTCTCCCTATTCATCATGGGGCTCCCCAGGTTTCCAAGGAGCTCCAGGAGATGAAATGACAAGAGACGCGTGGAGCACCGCCGGAGAAAGATGAAGTAAGAACATGGATAAGCGCCCATATTAGGGATTACATTGTGGCAATAAGAGCATCCAAATGTGCTTATTTTTCCACTCTTATTGCATCTGCAGGTAACCAGCTAGCAGCCCTGTTTAAGGTGACCCCACTTTCTGGTGGCAAGGAGGTCACAGCAATGTCTTCAGGGCTGATGCGAGGAATATTCTAGATACTGTCAGATAAAGTTGCTCAGATCTGAAAATCCATGCAAAGTGAAAAATCCATTCTATCCTATTATCTGGGATGTTTCATCTGGTAACTCCTGAAGAAATGAACAGGATTCTTAGGATTGTTAACTCAGCTACCTGTCCTTTAGATCAATGCTCGTCCTGGTTAGTTAAGGGTGTCCAGGAGGTGATGTATGATCAGATCTATGATACAGTGAATGATTCTTTGAGTGAGGGGGTGGTTACACTGCCACCTTCTCAAGAAGCCATCTCTGGACCCAATGATGATGGACACGTGTCCAATCTCCCTTTCAATAGAAGGCTATTGAGAAGGCAGTCAGATTGCAGCTTCAGAGGGCCCTGGAGGAAGCAGACTATCTGGACCCTTTTCAGTCAGGTTTCAGCTAGGAAACAGTATGAAGGCAGAATCAATCATACTTGTTGATAACTTCTGGAAGAGCCAGGATGGTGGTGGTACAACTATCCTGATTCTCCTTGATCTCTCAATGACCTTCAATACTTTTGGTTATGGTATCCTTCTAGAGCAAATGTGGGGATTTCGACTGGGCGGTATATTGGTTCTCTTCTGTGCTCTGTAGCTGGTTCCAGTTGGTGTTGATGGGGGAGAGGTCAAGCCCAAGGCACCTGACCTGCAGAATGCCATACGGCTCAGCAATCTCAACCTTCCTTTCTGAAATCTACACGAAGCCACTGGGCAAGGTCAACTGTCAACATGGGGGTCAGGTATCATCAATATGCTTATGATATCCAGTTACATATCTCTACCCCAGATTAAACAAAGTCCTGTTCTGGTACTTGAAGGCTGTTGGGGTCTATATGAAGAGGAATAGGCTTAAATTCAACCCTGACAAGACCAAGTGCTGTGTGTTTTGGTTCTTCCAGTACCACAGATTTTTCATCTTTAGTTCTGAATGATGTGGCACTCCCTCACACAGAACTGGCACATAATTTGGGGGGTGCCTGGGCTCACAATTCCTGCTCAAAGAACAGGTGGCAGCTGTGGCCAGGAGGGTCTTTGCCCAGATTCATCCAGTATGCCAGTTATGCCCTTTCCTGGACCAAAAAATCCCTTCTCACAGTCACTCAGATCTTAGTCACCTCTCTCAGACAATTGCAGTGCACTCTACATGGGGCTGCCCTTGGAGATCACTCAGAAACTGCAGCTGGTCAGGAATACAGTGACACAGTCCTGGCTCTTTACCCAGACACTGGGTTAGAAGAGTATGCACTTTCTGGAAGAACTGTGTATTAGTCTCCAAACAAGGCTAAGCCAAAAGTGACTCCATCATGCTCACCTGCGGCTGGGACTCCTTCAACTTTGGACGGTGTCTGCTTCTGGAAAGCACTGGGATCTTACTGCTGCTCAAGACACCTGCAGCCAGCAAAGTGCCCTCCTTCAGACCTGGTTCGGCAGGAGTCCTCGGAAGGGGCAAAGGCACTGGCTGGTTTTCCTTTCCTACTGGAGCCATTTAGGATCCTCTCTGCCTGAGTTTGCACCTATGTTAAAAGCAAGCAAGCAAGCGCTGTAGCAACCACCAGGGCAGAATACAACACAAGTAGTCCAGTATGCTCCTTCCCACAGCCGTGGTTTCTCGTTTATTCGTTGCGCACTTTTGTTTACATCCACTGTAATCAGTGCATGAGGGGCCAGCTACACCTCCCCCAATCCCAGCACTTTTAGGCTGAGTCCGCATAACAGATTAGGCTAAAAGAGCCTGATTCGCTTAGAGCTCAATTACGTCAGAGTAACCGATATTTCAGTGTATTACGCGAATACGGGGAACTGGGGGTTGTGGGAATAACCATTCTCGCTGAAAAACCCGTCGAGGCGTTTATATGACTAGGCATAATGCTAATTGCCCCCGGGGGGCAAATTCATCTCCTTGCGAAACTCGTTAACACCGAGGGACTGAAGTTTAGCCGACCCGTTTGCAGCTAGAAGCGTCAGTGTAACGTTTGAAAACCGCGCAACGCGTTTTGCTAATCTCCGTCGTTGGTCGCTGCCATTCATAAGACTGCCCGCCTTTTGCTCTACACCGTTACTCGAAAAAGGTACATCCTCCTTACGTCTCGCCATCGCCCCGACCCTTCTTAGCGGGACAGGCCACCCCTGGCCCGCACCGCGGCCCCGTCGCCTACCTACTCCGGAGCAACCCCTCCATCCATCCCTCCGCTCGCAAAGCAAGAGAAGCGCAGCCGTCCGGGCTAGTTCATAAAGCAGCAAAAGGCGCCGATTGGACCTTCCGAGAGATCACGTGGCCTGCCAGGAGGCGAGGCTAGAACGCTGAGAAGAGTTCTGGGGCGGGCGAGGACAGGAAGGGAGGTGCTCGGCGTTCGTTGAGCGGCTAGCATTAAGCCACGGGAAAGGGGGCGGGGCAACGCTCGCGAGGAGCAGAGCTGGTTGGCTTCGTGCTGGGGGCTGCCGGGCTGCCGGTCGCTGACCGTAAGGCTCGCTTGGTGGTGACATTTTATTTTCTCCGAGTCACTCTTGACTCCTGGCAACTGTCTGGGCCAGTCCCTGCAGTTTTCTTGGCAAAATGTCGGGAGCAGTTTGCCATTGCCCCTTCCCCGGGCTGAGGGAGAGGGACTGGCCCAAGGTCCCCCAGCTGGCTGTGTGCCGAATGAGGGACTAGAACTCACTGTCTCTCGGTTTCTGGCCTGATGCCTTAACCACTAAACCGGGCCTTTTTCTTTTCTTTTTTTGTGGTGATATGGAACCTAGCAAGTATTAGCCAGTGCTTGTGTGAACCTAGCCAGTTTTGGTGTGTTCAGTAAACCATCATTAAGCGACCCTTGGTTTAGCATTTTGTGTGAACCTACTTTTTTCTGAGGGTGTACAGATTTGCTTTTCCTTCAGCTGTGCATTATTGTAAATACCAGGACTTCTAAGAGGTTACAGCTGAGGCCTAACTCATGCTAATGATCGCTTTTCAGTAGGTTTTAGTTGCTTACCAAGCGTGTGTGTTTGTTTGCCAAGCAAAAGCAGTACTGTAATGACCTGTAATCCAGCAGCTGGACCATTGAGCCCAACCCTTGCTTCATGCAAAAAGGTAAAAATGGCCATCACATTTTTTTTCAAGTGGTCTTCAATTTCCCTGCAGACTTTGAATCAGATGCATATTGATGAGGTTTTTTCCAGTTCCCCATTAGATGGGGATGAAATTCCTGTATCTTGTCTAAAGCACAGGATAAAGCCAAAGCTTTTATCTTTCCTGTTTTTTTCATAATTCACATATGATTTTTAACTGTTACACTTTTGATGTTTTTGGACCTTTATAAGCCACACTGAACTTTTGCTAACCAGGGTTTACAGAAAATAGTTTAGCCAGGATTTAAACATGGAGTTAAACCATGCTTATTGGACTCACTGGTTTGGAGCAACATGTGCTGCAAAGCTGGTAGCTGCAACTATATGGTGAACTTTTGAACTGAAACTGGCAGTTCTTCCAAGTTCGTGTATTATGTCAAGCCATGGTTTTAAAATTATGGTTTATTAACTAAACTGCAGTTCACATATGCAACCATTACAAGCTAAGGCTTAGTATAGTGTATGAATCCAGTCACAGAAAAAATTTTAAATGCAGAACTGGCAAAGAAAATCAATGTGTTGCTTGACAAATCTTAAGAGCAAAGCTAGTATAGTTTTCAGCAGCTTCATGTAGCTGTAACAAAACAGTGCATGGAGCTTGGAGTTCTGTGTGGAAGATCCTGTTGACACTCAAAACATCCCCCCAAAAGAGAACAAAGCAAGACAGACTCTTCACATTAAGTTTATTGGCTGGTTGAAAGCATATGTGGCCTATTCCACACACTGACCGTGGGCATTAGATAACTGACATTATTCAGGGGAGTTCAGGAAGCACCAGGAACAAAATGACTGCCACCACTCCCAGTCTCCATGTATCCTGCTTCTTCACAGGAGTATGCACTGTAATAGGTTGCATTGTTACCTGGGCGTGCTACATCATCTTTCCCCAAGCTAGATATTTAATGAAGCAAGCTAAATTGCAAGGAAAGGTATTCTGGAGAGCCAGTTTATGTGGATATCCGAGGGCAGGAATTGGGGTGGCCAGGATTAGATTAGCATAGCATAGCATAGCATAGCATAGCAGGAGAGATGCAGAGATCCATTGGCATGGGAAGAGTTAGCACCAGGAATCTCTACCAGCTCTAACAAGGAACATGGAAATTGACAACTATCAAAAGCAGGAAATCAGTACCAAAGCCCATAAAGTGTAAGCCCTGGTGGTCATTTTTTTCAAAACCTATCATTCCTTTTTGGATAAAGGGAAGAAGGTGCAAGGTATCAGAAATCCAATACTGGGGCTCCGTAATGTGCCAGAGCCATTTATAAGAAACTGATCACAGGAGATACTATTTAGGCCCCACAACCCTGTACAGAAATGAGTATTGTATGCTGATCTCTGCAAGGGAATGCCGGCTGGGAGGCCAGGAAGTAAAGCTGTGTAAAACATGGCAAGATCAAAGGAAATTGCTCCAACCTTGTTGGAGCTGTTCCGATGCTGTTCCCACCTTACCAGAAATCTCAAGTTTGGTATGTATCCTGAGTTGACAGAACAGCTACTTTCAAGCTTAGTGCTTTAAACTGGGAAGATTTACACATCTATGCTTCTCTGCAAGAAAACAATGCAGTTATTTGCATTGCAATGCAGAACTTTTTTTAACCACCCCACTTACTATCAAATTATGCTTTATTTTCATAGTTAATTTGCAGGATTGGTCTGGCTAGGAAAGGGGGAAAATGCTGTGGTCATTCATGGGGAAGATTCTTGTATTTACAGTGAAGGCCAACTTCAATAATGGTCTAAAATTGAATATCCACTTTCTTGTAGGTAGTACATAACAAAGTTGTTTCTCTCAAGTTACATGCTCACAAAAAATAAATGCTGAACCATGCTGTGAAAAGCAAAAATTGGAAGGATCAAATACAAGTGAGGTTCTGCCTGGACACAGCCTGATGAACCAGACTTGTGGGAAGGTTCATTAGATAGCATGATACTGTGTACTTCCCGCATCAATTTGTTCCTTTCCTGTTCTGATTTACTGTAGCTACTGAGACTTTAAAATTGCCCCTCAACAGGGGAGGGGAGGGGAGGTGTAGGTAAAAAGATAAAATATCCAGACGGGCAGTGTCCTAATTTCCTGCAGCATCATTAAGTTGGGTTTGCCAATTAGCAACTCTGTGCTTTAACCAGTCAGCTAGAAATTGCAGGTCCTGCAAGGGTGCAGCAAGTACCATATTCAGAGCACGCTGCTGCTGCACTTGTTGCAAAATGGGATTAGGGAAATACGTAATCTTGAAAGTCTCCTTGTATCCTTACAAATAAACTTGAATAGTACTGTACTGGGGTGTCAGTTCAAGTTCTGATTTTAACAAGTTCTGAAAGAAAAACTACAAAGGCGGCAGAGAGAGAAAAGATTACAAAGGATCTTGAGGACTGGAAAAGAAGCCCTTGGAATAAAATTAAGTCAGGAAAAGTGATCTCAATAACACTGAGGTTCTCTATTATTGGGCAAATATTCTGAAGGCTTGTGAGCTTCTGTAAATAAATAATAAAAAAGCTACATACATTATTGCCTGTAGCCCAAAAGAAAACAAGTGAGAAGGAGCAAGGAGTATGTAAGTACATATAATTCTGTCATACTAATAATATAGATGTTTAAGAGGACTAGACAAGATCTCAGATGATACAAAAGACAGGGCAGGACAGCCATGAAGTGAAATGATTTAAAACATTATCACAATATCCTAAAACTTCAGGAAAGTTAAATAATGTCATTGTGCTATAAAAAGTTCTCAAAGCAATATTTAAAAAATCAATTGTTTAATGAGATAGTAATAGAGGTATAAAAATTGGTATTATTGGCCTGAGGATAAAAGCTATGATCTTATTTCTGTATCTACAGTTTTCTGTGCTCAATTGGACTTTCTTTTCAGTAATATATATATATTTAGCTCCCAGCTGTTGCTACTTTGCTTCCCCTTTCAATTGTCAATAACCTATTTCAAGATTTTGCAATTAAATTAAGGTTGTCTGATACGATTGGCTGCTTTTAGGACATAACTGTTACCTGTTAAGCTTCCTGCAGCTTAATTTTTGCATATTAAGCAATAGTAAGAAGCTTGTACTGAAGATCAATAGAAGTTAGCAACCATAAGTGGTATTGATCCCAAATGGAGATTGATTCTGTAAATTCATTCTAAGTCAGCAGCAGATATTTCTCGGAAATCAAGATGTCAGCTTTCCAAGTAGCTGCCCTGCATCCTTCAGTATTGCTCATGCATGGACTATCATGGGAATAATGCAGATAAAAGCTGAGGAAATACCCCTACTCAAGAATTAGGTGAAGGTGCAGCTATCACCACCCTTGGGATACCTTGGTCATGGAGAAATTAATAGGAAAGCTATAGTCTTAAATGCATTAATGAACATTAATGTCACTCATAGGTTATATGACCACGTGACAGGTTAAGGAACCTCAGTTGAAAGGTACAAGCATCTCTTTTTGTTCAGATGAGCTTCTATGCTCAAGCTCACAGAAGAAGCTAAGTGGAAATGGATTTCCTCCAATGTCTCTTCTAGGCCACTTTATGCTACTAATGTCACCACTTAAGTCCTAGGTACTTGGTCTGCTACACGGCACTTTTTCTAACAGGCCCCAAGTCCTTTGGGGAATCTTCATCTTTTATATGAATTATTCTAAGCATTACTGTGTGGATTCTAAAGTATGATTTATGAGATGGGGAGGCATCAATTATGGGTGTTCCCATATTGTATTTGAAAACCTTATTCATACCGAATTGACTTCCATATAACAAAATGTATTCTGCTTTCATTATACGCATAACTACTGAGAATTCACCCATGGGCTCAAGAGGTTAGTAAATAAGAGAGCCAGCCCAAGTGTTCTCATGATGTCTGTTCTTTTGCTTGCTCCATTCCTTAGAGGGAAAAGTCCCAGTTGCTGTAGCATCTTTTAAGAAACCAGTATACTCCTGAAGAGTAATGTGTGAGGAAACCTTGCAACCCCAAATGGATATCAAGAAACCAAAGGAATCAGTGAAACAAAGGAACAAGACAAATAACAGGGAGAGGGTGACAAACTGATCTAGTGTACCACCCATCTTTTGGCTCTGGTCATAAAGGAAAATAGAGGAGGGGGTGTGGGTTGGGATCTGGTCTTAAGTAATCTGGAATGACTGGTTAGAAAATTGACATGCAAACTGGCACCTGCAACCAGGGGTGTTTCTGACCACAGTAAAGAGCTACATGTAGACCAAGGCACATGGAAACTCCAGGACCACAAGCAAACACGGCAGATAGAAGTGGAAAACAGCTTAAAAACTGATGTGCAATTCCTCTGCATTTCAAATCTGTTTTGACCCAGATAAGTTATAGAGCATTTTATCAGAAGTGGGCAACCCTTTGGCCACCAAGGGGCAGCACCCAATACTCTTTTGCATCACATGGGAAGATGAGGAGGGGGGTCCTTTTTTTCCTCCAATATGCCTATTTTGATCGTTTCCCTGGTCTTTTCATATCCAGATGGTGGGAAACTGGGCTGTCCACTGCTAGCAATGATGGTCAGAAATTGCTTCTGTGTGGCTGAGGTTACCTAGCCTCTACTAAGCAATTAAAGCAGATGTTAAAGAAACTTCTGTTAGACCTAGATTCCAAGAATTTCTGTAGCTCTAGCATTAATGGTTTTCAAGGAAAAACATAACATCCCTACTGGAGCATTAATCAGGAGTGAGAAATCAAGAGTTAATATGGGTGATGGACTGGGGGGGAAAATCACACAAGAAAGCATAATCACAGAGGCTACTTCAGCTGCTAATTCACTAAGAAAGTCATCCAAGTTAACAGGTTCTCTGTCTCAGAAATCCCCATCCCCAAAGGCATGTTTTACCACTCCATCCTATGGTCCATGTGTAGGTTATAAACAGCTCAAGTACCATTTTTATGACATTCAGGGTCCCCCTAGTGTTGCACCATATGATTTGGTAGCAATTCAAACCAAGCAAAGATAGCACATTGAGCCAAAATAATGCCTTCAAAAAATTAGCTTAATCTATTCTATAATTGCCCTGCATTCCCTGTCTCCTAAAATAAAAATAAGCATCAGCCTCAGCCATTAAAAATTTGGCTGGTCTTGGTCTAACAGAACTGGAGGGATAAACCCAACAGCTGAGGAGAGGCGTCTCCCTGAAGCTTCCTTCTTTCTGGGATGAATCGGGAGAAATGGGAAAACAAAACTTCTTGCCTATCAAGATGACTGCTGGGTTTAGGGTAGAAAACCTCTATTGTAGCTTTCCTCCTTCCATAAGATACAGAATGTACAGGAATATGAAGATAACCTTGAAGAAGAAATGCAGGAATTAAGTAAACATCAACTTAGCCCTGGGAAAGATGAGATAAAGAAAAAAAAACCTCAAGATAATCCCACGTAGATTCTCTTTGGTATAAGAGGAGCAGAGGAAAATTCCATCTTTCAAGATTTTGTTAATATAGCTTATAACAGTAGAGTTCCTGTAGTCTTGGTGGTATCTGATTCCTGACCTGACCTACCTTGAAGGGCAGATAAGAATGGAGTTAATAACAGAAATGCAGTGGTTGCCAAACTCTTAAGGAGTTAAGTGAAGGTATCTGAAAAGAAATGGAATATCAAGGGCAGGATGAGAGGAAAGAAAAGACAAGCCCTTGGATAGTTCGAAAGTTGAAAAGAAAAGACAATATGTAAAAGAAGACATCAGTCTGAGACAAGAAAGCTGGATCTGATTAAAAATGGACAGGCAAGAAGAGGTTGGTGCTACCTCTTATGAGAAGCCACAGATCCCATGAAGGAAAGACAGGCAGCATTTTGAGGGCCATAGTAGACAAGGATATGACATGATGACAACATGGTGAGAAGGTAGGGTAGGGCTAAGCTGTTTAAAGTGTCGTGCCATTTTCTATTTTACTCTCTTAAATAAGCTAAGCCTATCTGAAGGATAAACACCCTCTTTTTATTTGGGATTATATTTTAAAAAATCATATGAAAGGCACGCCATTCTGATTTTGGCAATTTGCCACCAAATTGGGATTGCATTCACACCATCGCTGGGGTTCTCAAGACTACAGACAAGGGGTTCAGGAACTGCATGGGGATCTTGGTGACCACTTCTGCTAGACAGGAGCCTTGGATGCCTTTCGCACATGAGAGAATCACTGCTTATTAAGGCCATGAATCAGCACCTCTGGAAGAATGCATTTTTGCTTTTTTATTCTGCAGTTCGTTTGACCCTGTGAATTTAGACTCTGAAAAAGGCAATTGCTAAGTATTTCCCAGTACTCTAGAAACTGCTCATCTGCTTTCCTCACCCGCACAACACTTAATCACGTGCAGTGCAGATGAAGGGGAATTCCATGGTAGCCTCGACCTGTTCTGGTCCTTTCTACCAGAAAAGGTGGCAGAGCAGAAGAAAGTTGCTTGTCAGACAGTAAGAGGAGGATTAAGGAGCTGGAACCTGGATAGACTCTCTTCCCCATAACTCACAATTTCTTAGGTTGGAGAGAGAGTGCAGAGCATATGAATTGCTCGGAAGAAAAGCTCTTTCTCAGCTGTGAAAGTCAGGTATGGAGTGTTGATCCGTCAAAAGAGCCCTTGCTTTCCAGATGGAGGCTTCCAGCCCTGACACTTCCAGGTGTAAGGCAGCTTTCTAGGTTCACTTACGTCTTAGCAGGCAAAGCTGACATCACTTGTAAGAGTGCAGTAAAAATCGTATTTGAATGGAAGTTGAACATTAAGAAAGACTTGAGGCTTCTGAGTAAACACCTACTGGATCAGATTCTTCAGATTACCACTAGCACCCTTCAGTATTAGGAATTAATGCATTAATGGCCAGAGGGCTTTTTTTTCCTTCTAGACTTTTTTTAAGATTCCCTTACAAAATTTGCTTTAAAAAATAAAAGGCAACGAATCATCTGTTTTATATGCATTCATTTTGGAGGACATTTGAGAAGATCTGCAGTAGTTTTTTTTCCACTTGTACTCTCTAGATGCATTTAACTAACTCTCATAACCCCAGCCAGCATCATGCTGGTTAGGAATTTTGAGAATTGGAGTCTAACACATCTGGAGAACACCAGATTGGGGCATGACAACTGAGGGAATTAACACCATTTAGCATTTAATGTTCAAAATGCTTCAGTTACGTTACCTTGTCATCCTTAAAAGAGCCCTATATGGTTGGCCAGTCCTATTCTCCCTCTCAGTGCAGGTGATATGAAGCTAACCATGCACCTTCCCAAAGTAGGTCCACAGAAGTGAGAGCTGATTGTAAGGCCAAACCAGTAATCTTGATAAAGCAAGTTCCCATCGATTCTCTTGAGAATCTCTGTAAACTATGAGGGGTGTCTGTGGCCAGCACATAGAACTGGTTTTAGATTCAACAGGAGCAGCCAACCAAGGCTGTGAGCAAGCTCCTGGCCTTCTTTGGTGCTTCCAAGTTGGTGTGCTTAGTCGGCCTTGCAAGATGTCAAAGCTTGTCAACCTGCAGTCATCAAAGCGTTTGGCAGTGGTAGGGAACCTGGGACCTTCCAGCAGCTGCTGAACTACAACTCCTAGCAGCACTTTGTATGACCTGGGAGGCTGGGAGTTTTAATTCTGCAACAGCTGGAAGGCCACGGCCTTCAGATTCAATCTAAACACACCTGGCAAGTTGGTTCCTAGGGTGGGCTGGCTTTGTGAGTGGTGCTTTACAGGAAGGCAGCTTGGTTTTTGGGAGGAGGAGACTGGTTGAAGTGGGGGAGATGAGGAAGCGCATGATAAGAAGAGGTAGGAGGCAGTGGAAGAAGAGAGCAGGGTGAAGCCATCCCCGCTCCCAAGACCATGGGTGGTTATTGCTGGGACTACCACCAGGCTGTGAAAAGGATACGGTCCAAAGGGCAGGGAGGGCTGGCTCAGGAAGCCCGGGACAGTGTGGGAAGGCTGCCAGTGGTAAGAGGTATCATCAACATCACCATCATAAATAAGGCCAGTGTGGCTTAGTGAGGGAAGGGGGGATCTTGCAAAGAGGTGAGCTTAGTGCCTCTCTCGGTGGCCCGGGAGAGCCTGTTGGGGTGACCAGCCTCACTTCTCTATCTCGGCTCTCTGCTCCTTCCTTGACTCAGTCACCACCTGCGGGTAGAGAAAAGGTCAGGCCATAAGATCAGTACAGGCAATGCTTTCCTTTGGCCTTCCCCAACCTGGTGCCCTTCAGGAAGTTGGGACTGCTATTCCCAGCTTGTTTTGGTTGACTGAAACAATAGCAGAACCCTAATTAGGCAAACCTCTGGAGTTCTTTGCTGTGCCCTAGGCTGAGGTCCAATTCCCACAACTTAAAAATCACACCTCCTCCCCAAGTTCCTCTTTCACACATATTCCCAGTTTGGAACAGGTAATTCACTTGCCTCTCCGTCCTGAGTCTCTATGGTTTTGATCAGCACAGTCTTCCGGGTGTGGCTCTCTACACTTGGCTCCGGCTCTGAAACTAACGGGGAGGGAGGTGTGGGGGAGAGGAGGCTCAGCATTCAAGGACCCTCGCTCTTCCCCCTGCCCCCCAGGGTCACGCAGGGGACTCAGGACTGCAACTCCCAAGTGCCCAGCCAGCTCAGCCATCTTCCTTCACTCATACCCCTGTGATAAAAGACCCCTGGCTATGAGCTGGGAGAAATTAGAAAGAACGGAAAGTGGAGGGGGAAAAAGGGGGCCTTTGGGCTTGTTCCCAAGAGAAAGCAACTGAGGCTAAGGCCAGATTGCCTGCACAACTTGAGATAAGGGGGAACCTCCAGAACCAAGCCTGTTCCCATCAAACTAAAATGCTCCCCTCAAGTCACTGCTTGGTAGAAACAAAGGGTGGGCAGAAAATGGGCAAACAGAGATGCTTGGGTCCAGCTAGAATATTGCTGACTTCTATGTCAGCGCTATCATCAGATCTCTGTGACTACTCTTTCAGAAACCCTAACCCTTGTGAAACAACACAAAACACACGGGAGGCATTTAGGACTCATCCCGGCCATTGGCTCACCTGTGGTTCTGATGCTGAGAGACGCCATGGATTGGACAGGCACAGCAATCCTGCAGGGAATATACAGGCCAGAGAGCATTATAGGACATGGCAACAACCTAATCTCAAACTTTTCCTTTAAAAGGGCTTTACCTCATCCCTCTTAAAAAAGAAGGCCGCCTCCCTCCCCACACACTCCTGTAAAAGATTGTATAAAACCAGGTAAAAATAAGGACTACCTTTCCCAGTGCAGAAGTACCCCATCCATGCCCACCCATCCTATTGTCTGAAATATAAGAAACAGATGACAGGACACCCCGCAAAGCAAGGTTGGCCTATATTATCCCCGAGACATTCCTAGGAAAAGAATATATGCATTTGGTGGTAATGTGCCCCACCTATGAAAATGCTGAAAGGAGATGGAGGGGAGGGCAGTGAAGCAGGATTGGTGGAAACTGAGGGCAATGCCCACCTATCAGGGGGGTAAGAGAAGAAAGGACTGGACACTTTAAGGAGCAGGATGCATTTGTGTGAATTAAAGTTTCAGAGAAAGAAAATGGGTTGGGTGAGGACAGGGAAACTTTGGGATGATCAGCTTTCTGCAACCTAGTGCCCTCCAGGTACATTAGAACTGCTGCCCACAGAGTTCGTAGCCTCTGTCTATGCTAGCTAGGAACTCTTAAAATTGCAGTCCCAAGGCTTTTAGAGGGTACCATGTTGGGGAAGGCTAGATGGAAGATCTTGCAAGAGAAAGCACTCACTAAAATGGGTGTTGTGTTTCAGCAGAAAATGGTTGATTCTTCATGCCTGCTTTATGCTCCATTTCTAGGGCAAGTCCTTGTCTTCCAAAAGCCAGTTTACATTTTATGAAAAGAGGGTTTTGTGGCTGGCCATGCTGCCTGCAGTAGCCACTCATGGGTGGCACCCATGACATTCAAAATGTGCCCATGAACCCAAAAGATGAGCAGGGCAGGACCTGACCACCAGTGACCTACCTACTCTCCTCTCCTTCCAACAGCTTGCGATAGGTGGCAATCTCAATGTCAAGAGCCATCTTGACATTCAGCAGGTCTTGGTACTCCCGTAGATGCCGAGCCATCTCTTCCTTCATGTGCTGGATCTCCTGCTCCAGCCGTGCCACTGTCTCTTGGTAGGAGCCTACCTCAGCCCCATATTGGTCCTCCAGATCTCGCATCTGTCTCAGCAAGGCTTCATTCTAGAAAGGTGAAGAGGAAGCAGCACTAAGACAGAAATCCATGATGCTAGATGCTCAAACCATTGACTCCAAAATCTCACTAATTCACAGGCAATGAAGGTAAGACTGTGGGTGCAGAATTAACTTCTGGTTCCAACAGACTTTAAAAACAGATGAGTCCAGATAGCTTGAAAGCACTGAAGGTGACTTCCCCTCTTCATTTTATTGTATTTATCACATTTACAGTCTGGCTTTCCACCATAAATGGTGCTCAAGGCTACCAACAACCAAATACAAAATGTTGATTAAAATACATCAACTGAATTAAAAAATGAATAGCAGCTACTTAGCAAAACCTGTTTCAGCTACCGACAAATCAGCCTAAGGTCCCAAAACGTGCCTGAACAAGAAGGTCTTTGCCACCACCAGCAAGACGCAGAAGATGGAGCCGGTTTGGTGGTTCTAGAGCCTGAGAGGAGCTATCACCAAGAAGGCCCTTTTTGTATTCCTGCCAAACATGCTCCAGTGAGGCTGAAGCAGAGACAAGGCCCTTTCCACCTAAAGATCTTAAAACCCAGGCAGGCTCATGTGAAGGGAGGTGGCTTTTTAAAAATCATGATCCTAAGTCATGCAGGGCTTTTGTGGGTCATAACCACCATTTGGAAACAGCTCAGTAGCCAATGAAGTTGTCATAATGAAGAAGCCACAGGATCGCTGTAACCAATCTCTCCTCTGGGGTTTCTCCATGCAGAGCAGAGGGCCCAGTGAAACTAAGCTGCTACTTCACTGTCCTGGGCTGAGAGCAGGATGGGTGTTTTACTCACTGTTCCTTTGAGTCCATCCACCTCACAGGTCAGGGTCTGGATCTGACGGCGAGATTCATTCATCTCCTGTTTGGCCTGGCGAAGCGCCTCATGATTCCGATTGGCTGCATCTGACAGGTCAGCAAACTGCAAAGAATTTGGGGACATCAAGAGAGGCAAGAACCCCCAAAACAACAACTAACCAGCCCCTACCCAAACTCATTCACAATGAACTAGCTACAAGAGAATTGATAACATGAGCACAAGATCCACCTATGGACCTCTTCTCCTCTGTGGAAATCTCACAGAACAGCCAGGGGCCACAGCACTGGGTCGGTCCTCTATAATATCCTTTTGCAGTGCACTATCAGCCTGACGTGTGGCTTTCCCGCTCCTGTTCTTGCTCCTGTTTTGACCTACGCCACAATCTGCAAACTACACATTAATGGATCTGACTCATTACAAGCACCTACCAAGCCACATTATGGCTTAGAGCAGGGCATCCATCAAAACAGTGACATCAGGCTTTGCCCCACACGTCAAGGGCACACTTCAGAAATAGGTGGAGTCACCTTTATCCTGGATGGGTTATTATTCTGTTGTATCAATAGGTTTTATGGTAGTAAGAAAATCCCCCTTCCACTAAGCAGCGATTTTCTTGACCCATCAGAAGAGGCAGCGTTTTCAGTGTTAGGGCTCCCTCTACTGGTGAAGAAAAGCCCTGCAGCATTTAAAAAAAAAAGATGGAAGAGCAACTGGAAAAAGAAGCCACAGAGGAGGTGTGGCCTAGAGCCCTCTTTTTTACATTTTTAGCCTTCGAGGATGTTCAAGGGCTAACATGCTTGCAGAGGCTTGAAGGTACCCATTTTGCCCCAAAACAAAAAATGTGGCCGCTAATAATATCCTGGGAAAAAGGGGAAGAGATAAGGGCACCCATTTTGTCTCTTAAAAATGCAAAATGCTTTAAACCAGTGTTTCTCAACCTTGGCAACTTTAAGATGTGTGGACTTCAACTCCCAGAATTCCCCAGCCAGCAAACCATGACCTAGTATAATGTGTAAATCTGGTTGCTATATGCTGATGCAGGAAATAAAGCCACCTCTTCACATTAAAAAAAATGAAAAATAGCTTCTGGAGATACAGTTGTGTGTCAAAGAGCAGGAGGATTAACTCTGAACTCTTGTTTTGCTACCCACTGTTCATATTAGTCAGGATACCCCTTTGCTCATTCCACCATCGAGGAATTTAAGCAGCAGATGGATTTTCCAAGCAGAAAATGTTTTATGAGGAAAGGGCTACGCTTTCGTCTCTCCAAGTGCTTTCTTGCTCAGAAACTACCAGCTTCCATATTAGCTATTATTCTGTAAAAAAAAAAAAAAAAATCTCTTGGCCTTTGGGCTTTGCATGTAACAGAAATTTGAACCCTTCAGGCCACCAGCTGAATGCAGAGAACACATCTGTAGATGTCCTTCAAAACTGCATTTGTCCTGCACCCTTGACCACTACCTTGGCAGTGGTTCCCTGCACCTTCCCCACACAATGCTTATTTCTGGTGAGGGGGCTGACTCAGCAAGAAAGCAGGTATGCCAGTCAACAGATAGGGCAGAATGCTGCAGGGGACAAGGGTGATACTATTCAGAACATCAAAACCTACAGCCTCGCAAAGGCAGGGGCTTGTGCTAAGGAACCCCCTTGAAGCCAAGGAAATTACCTTGTGGTGGGTGCACAAGCCTAACAATGCCTGGCTTAGGACTGCTTCCCTTCCTCCTTTCCTGCCTGATCCACTCCACCTTTTCCTTCGATTTCCTACCTGTCCAGCCCTCCAAGATAAGAATTCTCACCTGCAGGACCTGCAGCTCCAAAGTTGGTGAGTGATGTTCCTCCTCTTCTGGAGAATAAGGGGAGGGAAAGAGAGGGCTTTCTCTTTCTAATGCCCCATCTGAAGCCCAAATGCTCCTCATCTACCTTTTCTGCAGAAATGATTGCTGGGGAGACCTTCCTCCTTGGCAGATTACCTTGCCTTCAACCAATGGGGGCCTGGGTTCAACAGTCACCATTTTTTACTTAGCTGAGAAGGTCAGTCAAAACTGCTCAGTGTGTGCATACAGGTTCACTGAGCTGCCTAATTTGTCTGCCTGGCCTAGTATGAGCTATTCTGACTGGCAGCAGCTCCCCAGACTCTCAAGCTGGTTGTCTTTCCAATTATCTAATTCTCTTTTCCAACTGGGGACGCCAGGGATCAAAACTGAGACCTGCTGTATTGCAAACGTGGTGCTTTACCACTCGGCAGTGGCCCTTTCCTTCACATTTCCACCAGTTACTTTTCAGCCTGTTGTATCTTTCATGCACTCTTCCTCCAAGGAGTTCAGGCAGCATCTATTAATATTTGTCAGCCCCTCTAGGCAGACCAGATTAGGAAATCAGCTCCGCAGAAAGCCTAAAACTACTTTTACCGAGTTTCTTACAAGTCTGATTGTGCCGCACCTCCTCCTCCTCCTTACACTCTGCCCGAGCCACTTCCAAATATTATTCCATTGCCCTGGACCTAAAAAATGTTTCAGTCTCTTTTGCCCAGCTCACGCATCTAGCGTATTCCCATCAAGGTCACCTTCCCTGCTCTCTATAACGTTTCACAAAGGCGTCCTGTTAATAGCCCTGTACCCCACCTTCTCTCCCTTCGTATCGCACCCAGTTTAGGCACCTTGGATTTATACCACTCTTCAGCCTCCTGCAGGTTCTTGACAGCGATGCTTTCGTACTGGGTGCGGATCTCCCGCAGGGCAGCTGTCAGATCTGGCTTAGCCTGCTCCACCTCCACTTGCACTTGCTGCTGGCTGTGCAAGCTCACCTGCATGTCGTTCAGCTCCTGCATGCATCAGACACGCAAAGGAAGGCCCATCACAAATGCAGCCGTGCTCGGCAAACAGGTCGACGAGATTAGATGTAATCATTCACGTGGCAGAGTGCATAGCACAGAGAAGGCAATCTAGACAGAGGACTGCTCAGACATAACATCACTGCCCACATTGAACAGACGCACGCGAAAGATATATTCCCACCAGAGCATACACTGAGCATTAAAGCGCAGGAGCAACCACCTGCCCCTTGCATCAGTTCCTCAAGTGAATCTGCCCTGCAAAACTACGGTGGAGACCAGTCATTCTGCCCACACATCCAAGGGTGGGGCTGGAGATGCAGATGTTTTTCTGCTAGGCACCACTAGATGGCCCACAAGCAACACACTTGCTGCAGGGTTGCCTAAAAAAAATTGCAAATGCAAGGGCTGGGAACCTGTAGCCTTCCCAGTGCTGCTGAACTTCAACTCCCAACATCTCTAACTCTTAATCAGAATAGATAGGACTGCAATATCTGGAAGCCACAGGATTTCCCATCCCTGCTCCATTAGTCCCCCATCATCCTCCCTGAGGCATCTACCCTGCTCTTTTTTGCACAACGTATCTCCTCCCACGGCTGCTACCGTCACCTTCGGGAAGATGCCAGTCATTCAGATGGGAGAAGCACTGATGCTTCTGCTGCACAACCACAGGCTCAGGGTCTTCCTGCAGCAGCCACAAGGTGGTCCTATTTCAGAGGTCTCTGCTGGTTCAAAAAGGCTGGTCTACTGGTCAGTCAAAAGGGCATCAGTTGCATGGCAGCCCATGACTGCTCCTACCTCCTCATGCAGTTTCTTGAGGAATTCAATTTCATCCATGAGGGACTCGATCTTACGCTCCAGTTCCAGGCGCGAAAGGGTGGCATCATCCACATCCTGGCCGGGGGGGGGGGGCGGGGGGAAAAACAAAGGCTGGTCAGAGCCCCAGCGAGCTGCCCACCACTCTCCACGTTAACAAGTAGAATGGACAGCAGAGAATGGGAAGAGTGGTCGGGAGGCTGATCAGCCAAGCTGGCCTGGGATTCCAGGGACAGAGCGTGCCTCGTTGGTCTAGCACAATTAGGAGCCTATGCAGCTCCCAAACAGAGATTTCGAGAACAAGGGTTGTGGCTTAAGGCCCATGAAAACAAATGTAGAAGCATGCATTCATTGACGTGTGAACGGGAAAATAAAAAAGTGTGACTGTTTGCAAATGGCAGGGTGAGTCATGAATCTGAAAGGACACATGCAGGGGCGTGCAAGGGGGTGTGAGAGCCCAGCATACTATTCCCTCCTCTAGTGCTCTCTCATCTAGAAGAGGCTTGGCTCACCTTGCGGAAGAGAACCAGGTTGTTCTCAGCATCTTCTCGCTTGTGCATTTCTTCATCCAGCCTGCAGAGGGCAGAGAGCAGCCCCAAACCAGAAATTGGGTGAATGCTACAGAATTTGTCGCCTTCATTTCACCTGTGCAGCCCACAACTCTGATCAAATTCTGCCCTAACCCACACAACTAAATGTCCCATTGACATCAGAAATAATATTCCATTTATTGTCCTTTTTACTTCTGCTTCCAGGAACCAAGCAAAATATAGTAGCTTGGCAAATGGGCTATACATGTTAAGTTTCTGGCCATATCCTTACTTGCAGACATCTATCACATCTAATTCCTAACCCATGAGTGTGATACAAAAAAAATTACATAAACTTCTCTGCAAACTAAAATGATTTTACTGTGCGGTAGGCACTGTTCAGAAAAGTAAATAAATAACAATCCTGGTCACAGATTTTCTGACTTCAGAGTAAGAAAAAGAAAGCACTGGAAATGGGAAAGGGAGTTTAAATTAAGGGAGGAGATGCAGTTGGAGGGAAGTTAAATACTTTGAAAATTGTTTTTAAAAAACATTTTCATTCCATGCTCCTTGCAGAATTAATAATCTATAGCCTATTTTTGGAAAAACAGAAGCATCTTCAAAATGTGGATATTGGATGACAACTTCTATTTTTTTATGTCCCCAGAGGACAGGTAAGATGGGGGGGGAGGGAGAAGGGGTCAGGTTGGAAAAGAGGGCGCTCCATAATATTTTGTATGTCTAAATGGGTCTAGCCTGCTGCTCTTCCAAGACTCAGCACCTGATGTTCATCTCTCCTTTCCTTCTTCCCACCTCCCCATCTGCCACAGCATGAGCTATGCCAGCTTGCAGAAGAACCAACCGCACTTCACAGTGCCCTAGGCAATTCAGTCACGCGTCTTCTCTTCCACCTGAATATAGATGAAAAATAGGCAGGCAGTTCTGCTGCAAAGAAGCAGGCTCATGGAAGGCCACTGGGGCCCCTTAGTCACTGCTTGTCCCTCGAGTTTGCAGCCTGGCTGCCATGACCCTCCCAATGTGGCATCCCCTTTGCGCTTTCCTTTGCCAACTTGCATTGCTTCCTCCGTGTCTTCTGACTGCCACCCAGAAAGAGGGTCTCTTAGTGGGGTCTTCTCTGCTACATCCCTTCACTGAGCCTCCCAAGTAGCCACTCGTTTCCTTTTCTCTGCCATATCCAGATGTCACACGAATGCCCCCAGGCCAAAGGGGGAGTTCAAGATGGGCCAGAAGGTTCAATCCTCCTCCCACTCTCCTGCCCCACCCCATATTTAGCTCATCCTCCTCTTTTCCAGATGCCTGGTTTCCTTGCCTCCTTGCCCACCCCTCTCCCCTCCCTATCACGTCATGTCTGCCAGACTCATCCCCACCACACCCTTCTCCCCACCCCACCCCGGGCTCATCTCAAGGACCGCTTTTCTGTGCACAGCAACCCGCCAGTCTAGAACCTGCATCTGGTCCCCAGGCACTTCTCTCCTGTGCACGTGTTCAAGAACTCAGCTCTGCCTGAGTTTTCTTCCACTTCACGCTCAGAGATCCTAAAACTCCTCTGTGTGGTCACAAGATCTGCCTGACAACTCTCTCTTCTCCTTCCTAAATGCAGCCATTTGAGAGAGCCAGAATTAGTCTGTTACACAGTTGCCCACAAAGAAAGTCGCCACCTATTCAGAGCAGCTTATAGGACTGCAGCCTAACTTTTTTCCTGAGACAGGAGATAAACCCAGACTCCTGATCCAGTGAGCTCCAAATCATTAGATTCCTCTATCGTCACAGAGGACAAAAGGCTCCAATGCAAAGACACCACTCTTTTGACTCTTAGGCAGTTATTCTTTCCTTCAGACTATTCCCCATTGTTTCTCAGCCTTGGCAACTTGAAGATGTGTGGACTTCAACTCCCAGAAGCATGCTGGTGGGGGACCTCGGGGTTTAGAGCTCAACACTTCTTAAAGTTGCCAAGGTTGAGAAACACTGCTATACACATTTGCTTTCTACAGCATATAGGCAGTGAAGAAAAAAAAGACACATACACATTTATTTGGCTCCTAGTGATTTAATCATCATGTTACAAGATGCAGAAGAGTGATATATTTTTATGGTTCAC